TCACACAGACAATCCCACAACCATGGGAAAGAGACAACAGTGTGTGAGTGGATACAGTATCACACAGACAATCCCACAACCATGGGAGAGAGACAACAGTGTGTGAGTGGATACAGTATCACACAGACAATCCCACAACCATGGGAGAGAGACAACAGTGTGTGAGTGGATATAGTATCACACAGACAATCCCACAACAACAGGAGAGAGACAACAGTGTGAGTGGATACAGTATCACACAGACAACCCCACAACAACAGGAGAGATACAATAGTGTTCGAGTGGACACAGGGAGCTCTGTTGAAGCTGGTCACTGGTGTACCCATGTCCACATACAGAGTTGGAGCAGCGAATTCTCCATAAGCAGCTCTGGTGGTTCACTAATTATGAATCAGGCCGCTCATCTCACAGTCAGCAGTTGGAGACTACCAGCTGTTCTGCGGGAGGAATAAAACCAAACACTCAAAGAAACAATGAGTCCAGAGGACTGGAGTTCATGAACCCTGCCTCCTCTAATCTGAGACCAAAGAACTAGACGGTGTCCGGCTCCCATGCTGACCAGTCTACTGGAGTCACAGTAGATGGTACTGGATAGAGTTAGAGAAACAGAACAAAATTCAAATTCCTAAGGACAGGCGTACTGGTCTGCTGAACCCTGGCCCTTAGACTCCCTTCTTCCCTAGAACTGAAGCCGCTCCCTGAGAGCCCCTTGCAGCCCTGCCGAGGGTCGGGCCTATCAGGTAAGCACTAAGTCCACGGGGGCAGGACCCTGGACCAACAGGAACCGAGAACCCACAGAGAAGACAAGGAGAATGCTGACACTTGGTAGGGACTGAAATCTGCATAAATGGCTGAATGGAAGCGAAGTTGCTTTGTAACCGTCACCTGAAACACAACAAAATACAAAACCAACGAAAAAACAACAACAGTGGTGAGAACGTGATCCCATTTTTGTAAACTCATGGCTGTCTACTTCTAGAGTATGTCTGAGCTCGTATGCAGGCCTTCCCAAACTTACACACATCGACAGTCTGGTACGTTCCGGATTTCTGGGCCCCGCTACAGAGGTGCACATTCAGTAGGGGTTTGGGGACCACTATTGTTGTTGGATCCATAGCCACCCTGTATAGGGTTTCCAAGGAGCAACTGGTGAGCTTGAACCACAGACCTTGTAGTTCAAACCGACTTTTCAGTCCAACGCATTAACCCACAGCGCCACACTAGGGCTCCTTTGGACCACTATGACTCTTTTAATAAATTCTTTGTAAGCAGTTGAGTAAGTTCCAATTATTTAAAGTGGCCTATGTACAAAAGAAGGAAACCCCACGAGGTCCTGCGACACGCTCACAATTGCTGCTACGCTTGACCCCACTGTTCCTGCCACTGTCTCCATCCATCTATCTTATTGGGAGGCTCCCTCTTTGTTGCTAACCCTCCACTTCACTAAACATGTCCTTTCTAGGGACTTGGTCCCTCCTGATAACATGTCCCAACTATGAGAAACAAAAGCTGGCCATCTTGGCCTCTAAGGAGCATTCTGGCTGTACTTCTTCCAACACAGGTCTGTATGCTCTTCTGGCAGTCCATGGTACTTTTAATATTCTCCTTCAACATCATAACTCAAATGCATCAATTCTTCTATGGTCTTCCTTATTCACTGTCCAGCTTTCACATGCTTATAAGACAAATGAAAATATCTTGGCTTGGGTCAGGCCCACCTTAGTGCGCCACAGCTATATGCAAGCCACCACAGTACGAGCAACTGACAGATGAGTGGTGGAAATTTAGTAGCAGAAAACACACTATTACTCAGTGCTTTAATGGGATTAGTATTACTATATAGTTTAGTATACTACAGTATTAGTATAACAGCTGACACTCTTGGTAGTGACTTTGTAAGCTATAACGGAACAGAAACAGATGTCTACACTTAGAAGTAGAGTCAACACTTAGAAGCGGAGTATTCCATTTTCCCCCAAAGTTTCCATATTTAAACAGCTTTTCTTCTCACCAGTGACCTTGAATCAATCAACATTTTAAATTTACTATTAGCTAAAAAGTGCCTTTATCATCATTTATCTGCCAAAGAAACCTGTTGCTGTTAGGTGTCGTCCAGTCCGTCCCATCCCGTAAGTGACATGACTTCTCAGCACCCTGACTGTACTTCTTCTACGAAGACAGATTGGTTCATTCTTCTGGGTCCGTGACAGTTTTATAAAGAAAACCCTGCAGCCCAGTATTTTCCCTCTTTTGAACCCAAACATGTACATATTTTTAAACTCTAAAGTAAATTTTTCATACGCAATCCAGATGTTTTTCTTGTATATCTATTTGAAATGTATAGGAACCATGTTCTAGTTATTAGAATATCATTTCTTACCAGGATCTGCTAATCCAGTAGTTTCTAGCAATATGTAATCGAATTTCCCCTTCTTCTGCATCAAATTCTCAATAGCTCTCAGGCCATTGTCCCTGGAAAAATACCCAAACATAACAATACAGTTGATTACCTGATTATTCTCAAGTGGCCATCAACAACATTTAAAAATATATTCAGTAACTCAAGACATAAATACCTTCGGGCATGGGGCAATGTAACTTACTAAGCTACTGACAGAACATTCTCCCGATCTTTGCTACTGGGGAGAAAGAGACAGGTGTGTATAGACTGAGAGGCACAAAGAAATCACATCTATTAGGAGCTACTACTGTACGTTTATTAAAATTAAAGCAGGAGAATTTTAATTTACTTGACTAAAGACATTTCTTCTTCTTGTTGTTAAATGCTGTGGAGTCGATTCCAACTCACAGAGACCCTGTGTAGGGATTCCGAGGCATGGCTGGTGGGTTTGAACCATAGACCTTGCCTTTAGCTGTCCAGGGCTTATCCTGCGGCACCACACCAGGATGTTGTTTTAGGGTTTGTTATTTCAATAGCTTCATAAAAGAAAAGAAATCAACATCTAAATAATGATAAAATGTGTAAAGTAAAGGGGTTTAATACAACAGCTGAGGGACACTGTCATTAAAGTCCATTTCATTCCACAAAGGTTAGTCCAAAAAGTACTGTTATAAAATCATCAAAACTTTTATTAAACAAAAGTGTCAAAATATGCAGCTATCGTGTGTGGACACATCCTCCACCTGGGTCTGTACACCTGGGAAGATGGCGCTCCAGATCACTATGCCTTCCCCAAAGAATCCCGCGCTCTGAGATTTATGCCACCTCAAAATAGCAGCTGTGGCATCCTTGGTATCCTGGAGGGGCTTCAAATCGTGTTCCTCTGAATGTGGGCACCAAAAAGAAGTCTGAAGGGACAAGATATGGCTGTAGGGTGGGTGAGGTAAGGTGTCTAATGAAACAGCCCTGCCTGCCTTCGGAAGATGAAGGAAAAAGACAGTTAAATTCCTCAGTACAACTTTCCATTCATTTTTCTCACGATGTAGACCTCGATCGTCTGGAACCTTCCTCCTAACAAGCCCTCATGATCATTCAGGATCAAGCTGTGTCCAGTTAAGGTCGCCCCTTGGGAGTCCCACAAATCAGTGAACATACCTTTCGGAGCTGACCTCTCGGCCCTGAATTTCACTGGCCTTGCAGATCCCCTGGGAAGCTATGGCTTTGATGGGGCCTTTTCTTTTGGAAGGCACCGTCACGAGACTGGGACCAGTGTAGTCCTGAGAACCCTGCTTGCAGCCAGACCCTGCCACTGGTCCCAGAGACAGCTTAACCGGGTTTCTCTGGAATAAAGCCATGCATGGACGAACCGGAACCCTAGCAGCAAAACTTTAGGCCTAACCCTTGTCTTTTGAATCAGGGTGGTGGTTGTTTTTGTTAAGCGCCTTCAAGTCGGTTCCAACTCATACACGGGTTTAGTTTTTCTGTTTTCTCATAAGAGCATCAAAAATGAAAGAAAATACTTCATGGAGTGCATTTTGGTTGCTGAAGTAAGTCTGTTACAAGATCATCCAGTGGGACCAAGACTTATCTTTTCCACGGATGGTGCTGGAGCAACCGGAGGTCTGCATGCAGCGTGGGCCAACTGTATGACCAGCCAACTACGAGACTTGTCCTCACACCAGATGCGAAATTAGCTCAAACCTGGATCAGATACGCCTTCAAGAGTTACAACTATAAAACTCTTAGAATAACATGGCTGAGTCCTCAGCAGCTTGTATGAAGCCGTGGCAGGCAGGCTGGCGGGAGGAAAGCAGGGAGCAGTGTGTATGGGAGTGCTGTTAGGGTGACGACAACGTTGGAAAACTGACGGTGGTGATGGCTACCGACCACCCTCTGCACACACCGAGGACACGTGGAGCTGAACCACAGAGATGGTGGCATTATATAGCATGTGACTTATGGTCCGGTAAACGTGTTATTTCAAAGTCTGCTATGATTTTAGCTTTGCTAACGCATTTGTCTCAAACACCCTGGGAAGTAAATGATTTCACACAATAGACACTCACACTAGACACAGAAGACACACACACACTCGAGGAGACACAGCCCTCGTCTGACCGTCTCTCTCTCTCTCTCTCACACACACGGAAGCAGCCCTCACCTGACCATCTCACACACACACACACACATACACACACACACATGGGGACACAGCTCTCACCTGACAGAGCAGCAGAGACACCCGTTGCTCAGCTCCAGCCACTCCTGGTACAGCTGGCCGCCTTGACTGACAGCTAGGGGCTTCTCCACAGCGCTCCCTGGAAGAGTAGACACACAGCTGTTAGACGACGTCCACTCACCTGCTGCCGTCCATGCCGTCCTGACTCCTGGTGACCCTCGAGGAAGGAAATTAACTGCTCCACAGGGTCTCTGAGGCGGTCCATCTTTAGAGACGCTGACAGCCACTGGTGGGTTTGAACTGCCACCCTCTGGGTTACCAGTACAACACTTAAGCCACTGCATCACCAGGGACCAGCAATGCTCCCCAGCCAACCACACACAGGAGGAGGAGACTCGGTCAGGGAGCAAGGCCAAAGCAGGATGTCCACTCAGGACTTCAGGGCTCACAAGCCACCGGACTCTGCGTTCTTCAGTCTTTCTGCCTTTTCTCAGCAGTAAGTGGACATGTGCCCCTAAAAAGGCAAACACACTTCCTGATGCCCACCAGCCTCTTCCTTAGGCTCACTCCCATTTCTAACAAGGTGACTATTGGAGGCACTCCTCCCTGTCTCCGGAGTCCTGGTGTGGCGCTGTAGGATTCAGCGCAGGACTGCAAGGTCAGTTTGAACCACAAGTTACCTGGTTCAAACTTCCCAGCCGCTCCTTGGAAACCCTATGCTGCACTGCTGTGAGACGGCACTTTACAACCACCACCTCCCTGGCCTGGGCTAACTTTCCTGACAGCCTGCTGTTGTTCAGTGCCATCCTGCCAGTTCCCACTCACAGCGATCCTGGGGAGAGTTTCCCAGGCTCTAGAGCCTCATCCTTGTCCTCGGAGGGACTGGGAGTAGCGGTCCCGGTGCTTATCCTAACGAACCAATAGCTACTGGGTCTTACAGCTGGGCTTTCTCATCTATGTTCTCTGCATTCTGCCCCCAAAGTGTCTGAGATTCTACTAGACAGAAGGCTTGCTACTCCCAGTATGCGTTAAAACTTCCGTCATCTCAAGCAGCCTGTTGGGCCAGGAAATCATTTGCTCATTTAAAAAGTAAACTTTGGTCAAATATATACAAGTTTCCTGGTAATGCTTCCTTGAGAAAGGGAAGAGAATACCTGAGATTCTGAGCTGTTTCTTATCATAGGAAAACAAGTGAACGTGCCTGACTTTCCTCCATACAGAAATGCACTGAAGTCAGGAAGGAGTTCTGTACATTCAGTAAGACATACACTGAAGCCAGGGAAGAGGGCTGTATGTCTAGTAAACCAAATGGCCAAAAGAGGCATTTTTTATGTATCTATTTTGGCTCACGTTTTAGTGAAGTGGGGACAGAGAGCTTGTAAAGGGACTGAAACAGAATCTGGGGTGAATCAAAGGTGAAGAGAGGTACTGAGACCAGCCTGGGACACTCCATGGGCAGTCCCACTGTGTCCTCGAGTTGCTCTGAGTCAGAACCAACTCAGTGGCGACAGGTTTGGATCTGTAAAGATCAACAAACAAAAATTCCTTTCATATGCTTAGACTTTTACTTCTATAAATATATATTTCATATAAAAATAGAGTAAGTATTAAAATCAGTTCAAAAATAACACAAAACACAACTCTGTAAAAACAATCTGATCTCAGTATCCCAAAGTTGTGCACAATAAACCTTAGTAGAAAGGGATCGATTTTTCCAAAGCTATGTGTACCCACACATTCATATTATAAACCTTTCCATTGTCACTTTTCAATGTAGAGTAAGAATTCCTCACTGGAATCAACTCCCCTATAAACTGTTTAGCTCAGCAGTCATTTACATTTACGTACCTTCCCCAAATTCATTCAAAATCACGGCAATTCTTTTGCTATGCTGCTCGGCCAGGATGTAGTTAAGAAGTGTTGTCTTCCCAGCACCTAGAAAATAGGTTGGTTGCAAATAACACAATTCGAAGGTTAATTTTAACAGCACAGAAAAGACTATAGTCTCAATTTTCTTTACAATTCTCTGCTGTTTTTCTAACAGCACAGAAGGTTCCAGAGGAAAATCCTAACACTCTGAAAAGTGTTACAAAATGTCTTATGCAAATATAAAGATTATTAGATATTTACAAATACTCTTACAACTTGGATCACGTGGTTGTTCTTTTTAAACCTCATATGGCAAAAATAATATGCCTTCTTTGTAACTTATAACACACTGGAATTTTCTATTACATAAGGAAATATGGGAGTGACAGGGTCTGGGAAATAAAATACCACACCTTCGTCTAGAACACGTATCAGTTCCTTTATGTGATGACATTGTTTGCTGGTCAAGATAACAAGGTCCACTTGCTGAAAACACACAAAGACCTAGCTCTATTCATAAGATGCAACATTAAGACGACACAAGGTACACTTGTTGTGAAGTATCTTTGGGTTGGTTCCAACTCATAGTGATCCAGTGTAGGGTTTCCAAGGATTGGCTGGTGAGTCTCAACCGCCAACCTTGCAGTCCCATGCTTAACCGACAGCGTCAGACCAAACTGATGAAGTCTCTAGGAAATGGGTACTGACATGCCACCACGGTTTAGAAAAATAAGTGTGCTGCTACACCAGCTTCAGCCAGTAGGTGGCACATGAAGCCCAACACAGGCAGACCTGCCTTCAGGACAACTCCTAACCGCCCCAGCTGGCCACCCAAACCCTGAAACCTGCACACACTGCCCTCAAGTGGATCCGGACCCATATGGACCATACAGCCCAGACTAGAACTGCCCCACAGGGTTTCCGAGAATATAAATCAATATAAGCCAAGAGAGGCTGGTGGGTTGGAACTGCTGACCTTTCAGTTAGCAATGCTCAACTCACTGTATTACCAGGACCTCACGGGCAGCTCCTGTTGTTGTTATTGTTAAGTGCTATGGAGGCAGTTCTGACTCAGCAACATTCCAGAGTGGCTGGTGGGTTTGAACTGCAGAACTTGAGGTTAGCAGTCAAAGGCTGATCCGAAGCACCAGGGCATTAAGTGCCCTTTAATGTTATGTAAATTTGCCCTGGAATGTTATGTAAATTTGCCCTGGAATGTTATGTAAATTTGCCCTGTAATGTTATGTAAATTTGCCCTGGCTTAGAAAGGACTGAACCAAGCCCTTGCTGTTCAGTGCCTCTGAGTCAGTTCTCACTCACAGCGACCTTGTGTAGGATTTCCAAGGAGAGGCTGGTGGATTTGAACCGCTGACCTTGTGGTGAGCAGTCCAGTTCTGATGCTACAGTGGCACTAGGCTTCTCCTTAGTTAAATGTGTTGCTAACTGTTGTTGAGTTGGTTCTGATTCAGGGTTTCCAAGGAGCAGCCGATGAGTTTGAACCACAGGCCTTGCAGTGAGCAGTCCAGTGCTTATCCCAGTGTTGCAACAGGACTCTGAACCAACCCCTACGAGCAACAAATTGTCCATCACAACCGCCTGCACCAGCTGCATGTGCAACTTTGAACTTGGTGAGAAGGCTTCAAGCTTTTCCTCTCACTGGAAAACCAGAAAGGCCGCCACCGAATGGATTCTTGCACTAAACTGAGGCTGACTCAAAACCAAATGCACCTGTCCCTACCAACCTACAGATTCAGCTTCGAGGCACACTGAGGAACAGAGCTCATCCCTAACCCGGGGAAGGCCTGGCCATTTCTCAAGTGTGAGGAAAGCACGTGTCTTACATATGAAGCCCACACACCGGGCAACACAGGAGTGTACTTCAGCTACGTGACTTATTTACCCATTTCTCTGGTGATGGGCAGTTTGGGTTACTCCTGTGTTTTGCCATCACAAACAGTGCTGCTGGGAACTTACACGTAAGCTTGTACCTATCTCTTTGGAGGCGGTTTGAAAGTTTTCTAGGGCACACAAGGGAGCTTCAAAAGTTCGCAGAAAAATTGAATGCAAAGATCATGGATTTTCTCCCACGAACTTTCTTGGAGCTCCCTCATAGAACTAGGAGAGAATGAAGGCCTGAGTGTCTTCAGCATTTCTAAGGAACAGTCCTTGAGAAGCTTTGAAGAGATGGCAGCCTTGCACTGAGCTCAACATCACAACAGCATGAGGCACAGAAGAGAAGGGGCTCATCACCAGTCCAGCCAGGAGGTACAGGGCTATGTGGGCGTGGCACAGAGTGGTGGCAGTAGAAATAAAAACAATAAACCGTCCTCCACTTAACGACATATTCGAGTTCCGAGGAACCACACTAACCACCACCTGTGAGTTTGTTTTGGTACATGTCACCGTTATTAACATGTACCACAGAGGAGGGACTTCAAAGAGTCTATGGGAAAATCCCAGCATCTCTGAACTCCATTTTTTCATCAAATCTCTGAACTCCATTTTTTCATCAACAGTTTGAAGCCCCTTCATCCAGCATCCAGTATGTAATTTGCTGATGTTATCAATCTCAGCTGTCCGCTCACGGATGTTCAATGTTATGATGTGTTGTGGCTCAGTGCTGACCCTGTATAGGGTTTCCAAGGAGAGGCTGGTGAGTTTGAATCGCCAACCCGGCAGTTCAAATTGCCAGTGTGGTCCAGTGCATTATCCTACAGCGCCACACCAGGAATCCTACGATTTATAGATACTGATAATAAAAAGTAATAATGAAAACTATTAAAAATGAGGCATTTGAATTATGGCAAAACCGACTGTCAGAACAGAATCCCCGTTGTAAGTTTGGGACCCCATGCAGAGAAATTGTTATTGTGTGCTGTTGAGTCGGTTCAGACTCATAGCAACCCAGAGTAAGGTTTCTGTGGGGCAGCTGGTAGATTTAAACTACCAACCTAACAGTGAGCAGTGTTTGTCCTACAGTGACACACCAGGGCCCAGAGAATTGTTGTTGTTGTTGTGAAGTGACTTCGAGTCGGTTCCAACTATTAGCGCTCATGTCTAGGGTTTCCAGGGAGCACTTGGTGGCTTTGAACTGCTGACCTTGTGGTTTGCAGTCCTGTGCTGATCCTACAGCGCCACAGCAGGAGTCACTAGGGATTGATTTCTGACCCAGTGCTTTGCAAACATTCCAAAAACAACAACAACAACAACGAAACTGTCTGAGAAAAAAAAGCGAGCGCCGTGGAGGGATCGGGCCCTAGGGAAGGGGCGCCTGCCGGGAAGCGCTCTAGGTCTCGGGCGCTTTATAAGCAGGACGCCCTCCACTGGGCACAAGCTTACACGGTAGACAGATGCTTCAAGTTTGGATGGATGATCGGTACTATTTCCATTTTCCCGAGAAAAGGATGAAATTGAGAAAGGTCATGTCACTTGCTGAGGGGTTACAGGGATCCAACCCTAAAATCAGGGCTCGTTTCTAAAGGCGAAGCTCGCTCTCAGCCCTGCTCGAGAGAAGTGCATCGGGCAGCGGGGTCTGACCACTTGTAACCCCGCCAGGAGAGCCGATCCCAGGGAGACCTGGTCTCGGCCAGGAGGTCCCCAGCCCAACGAGAAGAGGCACCGCCAGCTCCGTCGGCCCGGGATGGCTCGTTACCTAAATACCCGGTGATAATTGTGACAGGGATCTTGGCGCCGGCCCCAGAGTTTTCCTCCTCCGCCTCCTCCCTGCGTGTCGTCTCAATGGGAACCAACTCAGGGCAGTCCTCCTCCGCTTGCTCTTCTTCCTCATCCTCAGCTCCACGAACCTGTAACATCTTGAGGCTGCACGCCTCGTCCTCGTCTCCGGAGCCGGAACCAAAGGAGCCACTCTTCAGCTGCGCAGGCGGACCATTCCGCTCCAGGTCCGTGGACGTCATCACGCCGCGACGCGTCTAGCTCCTCCCAGTCCCGCCCCGGCTACCTGCGAGCAGGGTGATGCCTACTTCGCTCGCTTAGCCACGCCCTCTGGACTGTGCCCACCCCCGGGGCGTGGCAGCTGAATCTGAGGGAGGCGGGGCGGAATCCTTAAAGGCTCTTGAGCTAACCCACCCTAAAGCCGTCTTGGTTTGGCGCTATGGGGTCGCTATGAGTCGTTTCCGCTATGAGGCTCTTGAACTAGCCCACCCTAAAGCTGTCTTAGTTTGGCGCCTCAGCCTAAGTAACTATTGGCTGTTGGCAGGAGCAATGACAGGACGGTTGAAACCCGAAGCTGGGGTCCTAATGTAACAAGAGTGCCTGTAAGGCATAGATTTTTCAACTGAACACTTTTTTTTAGTCTAAAAATATATTTGAATTCATAGGGGAGAAAATGTTATTTGGAAACAAAGGAATGAAGGGCAGTGAATTTTTTTCTGTTTTATAATTAATTACATACAAAACTTGTTGTTGTTGTTGTCAGGGGCCATCGAGTCGGAACCGACTCATAGCGACCCCATGCACAGCAGAACGAGACAATGTCCGATCCTGGGCCAACCTCACCACCGCTGCCACACTCGAGTCCATCAATGATGCCACCTGGCTGATCCATCT